AAATATGATGAGCAGTCTGATCGTCTCCGTCCAGATGCCCGTGGGGCTACATGCAGTAGTTCAATGAGGGGGGATAGGACCTGGTGTGCCATGGCTGGCCAGTCCCCAGTTTGCACTAGGAGGTAATCAGTGGCAAATCAAATCAGCAATCACAGCAGAATGGGGGGGGGGTCAGAAGGAGCAACAGAGAACCTCAAAAGTCCCCCAAGAGAGGAAAGCACAGATTCAGGATTACAGCGACTGTCATTGGTAAAGCACTTGTACTGTGTGTCTGGTGCTGAGTGGGTACTAATACTACTATGTGATTTTATCTGATCCTCACACCAACCCTCTGAGTTAAAAACTGTTCCCATTTCATTCATGAACAGTCTGAAGTTAAGAGAGGTGAAGTGACTGTCTGAAGGTCACTCAGTTGATGAAGCTGAGATTTGAGATACTAGTGGAAATGGTCAAGGGCATCAGATGGAGGAGAAACACCATCAGTGGGGGGAGGGATGGTCTTCTTGCCTGTTTCCTTCCATGCCCTACCTTTTCTGTCTCGTGGTTTTGTTTTTTTTAAGTTTGTTTATTTTGAAACAGAGCATGAGTGGGGTAGGGGTAGAGGGAGAGAGAGAATCCCCAGCAGGCTCTGTGCTGTCAGCACAGAGCCCGACATGGGGCTCGAACGCATGAACCTCGAGATCATGACCTGAGCTGAAATCAATAGTTGGATGCTCAACCGACTAAGCCACCCAGGCACTCCTGTTTGTTCTTCTAAAAGTAGAATTAATGGTTACCTACAACAGCAGAATCTTCCACCAGCAAACATATAAGTAGTAGCATGAAAACCAGAACTCTCTGTGCCTAAATCTATATACCCTGTATCTAAACCCCATAATGGAAGGTTCTGATGAGCTGTTTTGGTGTCTTTCCTAAACTTCCAGGTGGTCAGGGAGTGGAGAAGGAAGTCTTAACTAAGCCTTGACCTCAAGACTCAATTAGCCTTTTGTAGCAAAGGTATGGAATATATTGAGGTAGAACTTTAGAGGGCAGAGAATCTTCCAGAACTGCTGTCTTTATTGAAGGGCTTTGTGGAGTCAGGTATGGAAAAGACTCTGGAAACAGAATTCTTCCTCTCACCACTCACGCAGAACGTCACGTTCAGAAACGAAGGCCATCCAGGGACAGCAGACTCACCACTAGCCTCTTCTCAGATGCTTGGAAGCTGTTTCAACCCCAGACGGCCTTCATTCCCTTGCCTGAGACTCACATGCGCAAACAGACTCCTACACATGCCTCTTGGGTTGTGCTTGTTGCTTATGTAATATGTTTTTGATACCTAGCAGGTAGATTGGTTAGAAGCTGGGAACATGTTCCGGAAGATTTCAGCCCGGTGTTGATCAAGAGTGATTTCTTGTGCTCAAAACTATAGGCTTCACCTTTTATGCTCTGACTGAGAAAACCTCTTAGTAGAGATTAGGGCTTCAGTCCCTATTCCTCCTGTATCTTGACACAGTCAAACTGCGTTTACTTAGGTTGGGCTAGGCTGTAGTTGTACTGAGCGGTGAGAAGTAAGTTTGAATTGTTCTGTGATTCAGAGTATTCTAACTAAAAGGGATTATGCAGTCCAATAGTTTAAGACTTTTTCTAAAAAAAAATCACAGGACCCTATCCAAAAAAAAAAAAATCTAACTTGGAAGCCCAATACAGAAAACAATTTACAGTGGAAATGGTAGCCTGTAGTTATCCCGAGAGGGTTATGCAAAAACTAAGGCTCTGTTGATAGAGTCTGCAGTTTGAAAGCCCCTGATTTAGTCTAACCCCTTTATTTTGGAGATAACGAAAATTGAGGTTCAGCGTGTTACATTGACTTGTCCAAGGCACCCAGCTGGTTATTTGGGGTGTTGAGAAGCGGATAAGATCTCAGCGTGTGGCCTTCCCAAGAGATAGACACTTAACCCCAGGCATCTCGATCTTTCACCAGACGCTGCAACAGGAGAGAGAAAAATTAGGCCGTCATAGCAGTCACAGCACAAAATGTTTTCCCACTTGGCAGGATTTTAGGGACTCCTGCCCCCAGACGTTCCTCTCGGCCAGCTCTGTTGGTGGTCAGCGGTAGCAGATTGCAGCACGTATGCGGAGAGATGGATTCTAGAGCAAGCAGCTTGCATCCCTTCCCAGTCTCCCCTGCTTACCCTTTAGCCTCAGGCCGGCTTGATTTCTCTGTCTCGTTTTCTTACCTGGAAAATGTGCCAACTTAACGAGCTTGCACCAAAGATCCAATGAGATCCCGTGCGCATCTCACGGGTGACAGCACAGATTGAGTACTTGATGGTGAATCACTGGGCTTGTGGTAGTGGTGACGGTGATGGTGGCATTGGTGCCAGTTGTGCTCATAGTTGAGGTAGCATCAGTTATTGTTCACGCTGCTCTAGCACCTTCCTGCTCATTTGCTGTGCATGCCCTGTTCCATCCGTATCTGAGCTTTGTGCACTAGTGGCATTCACCTTGCTGACATGGGAAAGTGCCATCATCCTCACTCAGCCAGGGCCGTTCATAAACGCGCATTAATGACCTTTGTTGTTTTAATCCTGTTTTGTTGTTCGCTCCTGTCTGTTCCTAGCAGAGTCTTTGGAAGGTGGTTGGTGCTCAGGAAATATATGTTGATGCGAGTGGTACCGCTGTACATCAGAAAGGCAGGAGGAACCCGGGACCAATCTGAGTGATGGGCCTCCCACCGCCCTTGAACTTAGCTCTTCCTGTGCCCTATGCTCCCTCCCCTTAAACTTACATCTCCTTTTCCCAGTTCCCACACTTCAGGCTCTCCCTTCACGCTGCATTCTCTTCCGGGGAGTTTCCTGGTTGATCTTTCACGTGGCCACCCTAGGACCTCCCTCTACCTGGATGAGTCCTCACGACACGCAGAGATGCATCTTGCAGTCACAGCTGGGAGACCTTGTCCCACTCAGAGACCCCACTCCCAGTTCCCAACTGCATGTGTCACTTCGACCTATTCCAGGGATTCAAACCGAAGCAAATAAGTGATTGGTAGAAGAGCGTGCATGTTATTAGAGTGAATTCTTAAGTCTTTTTTGCAGTTAGGTGACAGGCAGCAGTCATGATAGCCAAGGCCATGAAAACTAGAGATGGCCGTCAGCAGTTTGTGGTGTTGTCTATGGTCTGAGAGAGAGAGAGAGAAAGAGAGTGAGTGTGTGTGTGTGTGTGTGTGTGTGCGCGCACACAGGCACGCACACATTCATCTTCGGGGCCGACTCAGAGTCTGTTTTTGAGATAACAGAGATAACAGACCTTGAGCTTTTTTTAGCAATAGCGTGGTGGCTGGAAATAGAAAATTAGCCTCTATATAGAGCTAAAAAAAAAAAAAAAAAAAAGTCTCTTCTAATGCTACCTAGAGCAGTGGTTTCAGCGTGTGGTTCCTAGATTAAGGGCATCTACATCACCAGGACTTTAGTGGAAATACAAATTCTAGGGTCCCACTTCAGACTAACTAGATCTTTGGGAATCATGGGGATCAGCAATCCATGTTTCAGCTACCCCCTCCCCCAAGCAGTTCTGTTCAGCTAAAGTCTGAAAGCCTCTGATTTGATTCATCACCAGACCACGGTTCTAATTAGGAAGGTGCTCTTGAGGTCTTTAGGCCTAGATTGGGTTCTGCCTCTCCATTCGTCTTAATCGTAAAGCTGACGGTGTCCAGGGAAGGAGAAATAGGTACATTGGGTTTGATGTTCTTTAATTGAATAAATCTATAATTTATGGATAAGAGGTAAAAGATGACTAATACTTTCTAAACCAGAATGTTAAAAATATTTACTGATAATAGAATATAATCAAGCAGGTTCTGTTGCTGGTTTTTATTTATTTCTTGAGTATTTTTTTTTTTTTTTTGTGCAAGAGATGCGTTGTAGCTTCCGTTAAGATGCATTTTATGGGTAATAGATACTGTATATACCAACAATGTTTTTCACTGACTTTTGATTTCCTTTTCGGGTATTGAGTCCTGTTGTTACCAAACTTAATTATATCATACCTTTCCCTTTCTTTAAATAAAAATGAATCTAAAGTATTTTATGATACTCTGGGAATCTTTGGAAATATCCTAAAAGTTGCAAAGGAAGGGTTAATAGTCATGGAATAGCCACTAAAGGATTATTTTCAAATTGGATAGAAATAAATCATGTTCTACATACTTAAATGAATGGAAATTTGGGGGTTGAATCCATGAGAGCCAGATCTATGATTTTCAGGATCTCCAGTGTGGAACAGAAGAACTTGGATTTATAGATTTGAGCTATCCCAGTGTTAGTAAGACTTTGAGAACATGTGAGTGGACTTAGACTCTTAGGAGAAATTCTACAGTAAGTTAAGTCCTTTGAATTTACTTCTCGCTAAAGGAGCTCAGTTCATCTAGACTTTACTGAAATCGACAACATTGGGCACATCTCTTTTGATGTCCTGGACTCTTCTTTTGGTTTTGAGTTTTTGTTTCAATCTGTAAAATGATAGGTGTTGGCTCAGATGATCAATACCTGTTGTACCTTCATTAAAGGAACAATAATTTTTGCCTATACAGTGGATGTCAGAATATAAATAAGATGCAAACTGAATTTTTTGGCTAGGTTTTGCTAGTCAGAAAATTTTGCGTGCCATTTTAATCATCTTTCTCGTAATCTTCTCAGAATGGGTTTAGGAAAAGAAATATGGCAGGTTAGTTCACTTGAATTAATGGGAAAGATGAAAAGTTACCATATGTTTCATGTGTTTCGTGGTACTTTTGCCTTTAAATAAGCATCATTCATTGACTCTTGTTGATAAAAAACCTTTTCTTGTGAATTTCCTTAGTAGGCATGTTGAAAATGTGACTGCTTAGTTTGTAGAATTTACATAAGCTGATGTAAATTACTGATATTTGCATTTTCATTTAGGTTTTGTCCAGTTTCTTTTTGTATTTTTTTTTAAATGAAAGGTTTTATGCCTCTAAATCCTGAAATATTTTCTTACAGTGATCCGTACGTGAAACTTTCATTGTACGTAGCGGATGAGAACAGAGAACTCGCTTTGGTACAGACAAAAACAATTAAAAAGGTAGGTGCCCATCCTTAATTAAACTTCATGTAAATCATAATTTAATCCAATTACATTAAGTACTTTGGCTGTGTAGAAGCTGATACTTTTAAGTTTGGCAATATTTTTATTTTAAGCATCTCCCAGTATTCAGTCTATAAATTTAACACAGACCAAGCTTTTCTGCATTAACTTAAGATACCCGTTCTGGCTTTTAGTTAAATGGCTTGAAAAACAACATTCTTACAAATAAGTATTATTTCAAGTAGCAACCTCCCGCCCCCCCCCCCCCCCCCCCAAAGAATACAGCAAAGCAAGGATTTGTTCTGGTTGCCTTGTTGTTCATGAAGACGTTTAAAATAACTTAAAATACATTGAATGGAACGGAGTGGCCTGCGAAATTGGTAGGCACAAAAGGAATTGTTTAACTTAAAACCAATATTACCAAAGGAAGCAGAAGATTTGCTTAGTCCCATGAAGACATTAACAAATTATACATTTATATGTATCTGTTTTCTAAATCTTACATGATTTTATTAAAGATGTGCCCATAATTATATTTTAATTCATCTACATGTTTCCGTGTGTGTGTGTGTGTGTGTGTGTGTGTGTGTGCATTTGTGTGTGTAAATATAAGCTTTTACTCCATATTTGGGGCATTTATTGAAGGTGTAGGATTTTTTTTTTAATCAAAGGTACTGTTTTCATCTTTGCCTCAGTATGTATCCATTACTGCTGTTTTCCCTATCACCTCTGTGGGCTAGAGAGTAATACTTTGTGTGACCAGCATTTCCTGGAGAACACGGTGGCTTTAAAAAAAAAAAAAATGCTAACTCTCCCGCTATTGTGCGGACACCAGAGCTCCTTGCCGGGGTCACTCTGCAGGAGGCACAGCCTACCGTTGAGCGCCCTCCACCTGGCCGTGTGACCGGCCTTGAAAATCTGTTCTGCAAACAGGAGCCGGTGCTTGGATTCGTGGGGCGGACTCCCGCGGAGCGCGGAGCCCATTGTTCCCCGGACTCCGGCGCTGTCCCTGCGGCAGCGCGGCGAGAGCGGGGCCTCGCGGTGCCCGGCCGCGGAGGGAGCGGGGAGCCACAGCCCCCCGAGGGGGGACCCGGGGACACCGAGATGGCTTTTCCTGCCGGGGCCGGGCCGCCGCCTCCCTCCTGGTCCCCGTAGCGGCTGCAGCGCCGCCGCCGGGGCCGCCGTGCCTCGCTCGCTCGCAGCCTCCGGGTTAGTATTTCTGCGCTGGGCGCGCGCGCCCGGGCTCCGGCACCGGTGGCCGCCTGGCCCCTCGCGCGCCCTCCCCTCACCGGGCCTCTGCCTGCGGCCGCGGGCACGTGCGTGCCGCCCGCAGCCGGGGCCGCAGCAGCCGTCGGCTGGCCGGGTCCCGCCCCTGCCTCCCCGGCCGCCTGGCCGGCCCCCTCCCTTCTTCTCCGCTCGCCGCCACTCCTTAGCGGCCCCGGCTGCGTTCATCGCCAAGAGTATGAAGCCCGTCATCTCGGATCCGGATCGGATTCCCTCCTGAGTTGTGGGTGGGCAAAGTGCTGAGGTTTTGGTTTTGGTTTTTGTCTTTGTTTTTAAACGCCACTTCGGTGTTGTGTGAATTCTGTGTGTTTGTTGTTTTTTACGGTGCATTTCATTGGTGTTCTGTCTCTGCTCCTTCGTGTTGTAGTGTGTGAAAGGAAATAGATGGATAAAGGCAAATCTTGTTGAGACTAAAAATGCACCGAGGCTTCGGCCGAGGTGTCGATTTTTCATTCTCAGGTTTTAGATCTAATTTTTGAGAGATGTACTTCTGAGTGTTATGCATGTCCAGATGCAGAAACACGTATGTGTGGATTCATTCACAGTGTGTTTCATCTTCATTTCAAAGGATGCTTGCAGTCCCTCTTTTGTCCATACTGAGGACAAAAGTATCCTATCTGTGTCCTTGTGAGATAAATATTTAAATCAACGGGTATGGAGATGGATGGACAGAGCAATGGATAGAGAAGGATTGAAGAATAGAGGGGTGAAGATTTTTTTTTTATTTTTTTATTTTTTATTTTTTTTTTAAATTTTTTTTTTAATGTTTTATTTATTTCTAGGAGAGAGAGAGAGACAGCGTGAGCAGGGGAGGGTCAGAGAGAGAGGGAGTCACAGACTGAAACAGGCTCCAGGCTCTGAGCTGGCAGTCAGCACAGAGCCCGACGCGGGGCTCGAACCCACGAACCGCGAGATCATGACCTAAGCGAAAGTCGGACGCTTAACCGACTAAGCCACCCAGGCGCCCCAAGATTTTTTTTTTAATGCTAGTTATTTGACGGGTGGAGATGGGAAAAGTCACTTTTGGTTCATAACTGGTAGGGTTTCATTCATGTACTATAGTCTGATAACCAATATTGCCCTTTATGTAATATTCCTCGGATTGCAGGATTTACATAAAGAGTGAATACTTTCACCCGTCTGCCACCTGCTTCCTTGCTTTCCAGAACAGATTTGAGGTAGGTTGAGGGAAGTAAACAAAGTTCATTTCCTTCTTGATGAAATGATATCAATGTGAATTTCTTGAAGGATATGCTTATATTTTCATGATGATGGCTCTCTGTAGGCCCCTGACAGAAGGCATTCCTTCTGATGGATAGCATGCAATTTGTGGTTTCTTTATCTGTGAATCATCTGTTGCATAAATACATCCCTTCCCATCTAGTTTGGCATATAGAATAGTCTCAAATAACTGACTGCCTTCTTTTTATTACCATTTTGAAGATCTCTTAGCTATTATTTTTAATCACGAAACACATTCAAGCAAATATATGGACTGCCTTGTACTAGTAACTTTCATGTTTCAAAGACTGTAAAAGATATTACAAGATAATTTCTTTTCCAGACGCTGAACCCAAAGTGGAATGAAGAATTTTATTTTAGAGTAAGTTTTTCATTTCTCTTGTAATAATAATTGTTATTAGTGACTAGACTGATACCTTATCATAGTAGGTCCAAGTTGAGTGGAACCTGTTAAATGTTTATGGGAAATTCCTTTTGAGACCCCACCTGGTAGCCACCTCGTGTGGCCTAAATTTTCAAAGAAAATTTTTCCTGGGGTAGTAAAATCTGAACTTGTTTCATTTGGAGATGGTTTAGAGAAGTAAAAAGAAAGTTACGTAAGTATCATATTTTAGCTTTTCTACTCAAACTTTTCTTTAAAAATGAGGTAGAATGTAATGAAAACAATGGCTTGATCATGTTTATGAGACACAGATTATGAATGATTTTAGAGATAAAGCAGTAGAGGCAACATGATTAAAAAGAATCCTAAAAATTATCAGTCCTGTTTCAGTTAGGAAGGGAAGGTTTTAGAATTCAAATATGTGGTGTGCATGTATGAGTGTAGAATAAAGTGCTTTTGGAATCTATAAATATCACTATATTCGGTTAAATTTCCTCAACCTTGTATATTTAACACCTAGAAGAGCTATATGTAGAAATGACTGAATTCTGTGAACTATCGGAGGTTACTAATCAAGGAGTTTTTTGTGGTGGTAGTTCTGTATTTTTTGTACTAAAAAAATTGGAAATCCTAAACTGCTCAGCAATTGAATGGAAAGAAAGAGGTTTCTCCTCTCTCTCTCTCTCCAAAATAAATATATTTTGTCTGTGTAGCTGTGATATTAAAGTCTCCATTACCTCCACAAATCCTCCTGAGATCTACGGATTGGTTTAGATTCCCAAAGAACAATATTACTATTAGACCCATTTCAGTCGCTCCTCACTTTTCCCTTTCTATCACAGTAGTATTTTATGTGCTCCAAACTTAGGTTACGGATATGACATCTGTTTTCTATTGTGTTCTAAGCTGAAATATGGCATCGATATTTTAATACACAGTAGATCTTACATGTAGCCTCTACCAGATGCATCTTAAATTACTTTGTGAAGGACTGAAAAGCTGATGGAGCCAGAGACATATTATTGACCCTTAGTTAAGTCTCAAATACAGCTTTCCACTTGGAAAACTCCAAATTACTTCATCCTTTTAGTTTAATGCCTGGGTCACATTTATGTAAATTTCAGTGCATCCAAGATTTTGTCAACTTATCTTGGCTATAGATGTTTGTAAATTCTGCTTTTCTTGGCTTTGGAAAAAAAAAAAGGGTGGGGAGCTTTGTTTTATTCATTACACAAATCTCTGTGGAGCGCCTACTGTCTGCTGCTCCTGCGACAGCCTGTGGGTGCACTGGTCAGCACAACCTTTGCAGAGCTTCTAGACAGGTCCTAACCCCCCTGTCCGTCTGCATGCCCTATCACTAAGCTGAGGGCAGGCCACAGGGCCAGAAGCCCACGATGCACTCCATGCTGTGTTGTTAAACTTTATTTCGTCCCACTTCCTATGTGAAGCGGCCCAGACTTTGTCCCAGTAGACCCGAATCCCATCTCTGTTTGTACCACTCACAGCCTTTGAGAGCCTGGAACTCCTCCTGAAGACTGGCATTCCCAGTGGGTTCCTTACGTCTCATGTAGGAGAGAGAGAGGTCCTTACTCGATCAATGGTTTTTCAGGATTCACATGCCATTATGTAAATAATTATTGAGTGCTAAAGCCATATCTCACATGTGGTTGGTAATTAATAAATGGTCATTGAGCCAGAATGATGATTCCTGCCATTTTCGTGAGGTTTCGGTAAATAGAAAGAAGAAAAAAAAAAGAAAACCCAGGAGCTCACGCATCGACTCCATGGTTGCTGGAAGTGGGGACATCTTTTAATTCTGTTTGCTCTGTAATTTCAAAGCGTGGGCTCTGGAGGCCAGTAGGTTGGCCCTGGTTGGGGTTCGTAGTTGCTGGCGCACTAGCTATGGGCTCATGGGCAAGTTACTCTAGCTCCTTATTTGCAAAATTGGGGGGACAGCGCTACATCAAAAGTTGCGGTCAGGATTAAATGAGATCAAGTGTTTTTAATATTTAATAAGGAGCCCGTGCCTTAAAAAAAAAAAAAATAAGCATGCAGTGGTAAATAGCTCATTCTGCTATTTTCTTCATTTTTGTCTTTGCTATTATCATTATCATCATGGGCCTACGAGATTTCCTCAGGCCTAGACCTTTGTGAAGATGTCCCCTTGGTCTCCGTTTCTTTGTAGAGGAGATTCAGAAGCTCCCTCAAACCATTTAAAATTTTCTTTGCAGCCGAAACCATTTTCTTCCAGTACACCTAAATATCAGGCATAGAATAATACAGACATCAACAATAGAAAATGTGACTTCATAGATACAGGATTTACTAAAGGGTAGGTTAATTATCTAAATTACACAAATGACCTGGGTGCATTAGAAAGCATTTTATCCTGTCTTATTTTTTCCTTTGAACCATTCCTGCCCATTTTTGAAAATAATATTTCTGTCCCCTTTATAGGTAAACCCATCTAATCACAGACTCCTGTTTGAAGTATTTGATGAAAACAGATTGGTAAGTTGGTCCCGGCTCTTGATTTTTGCTTCATTTTTTAAAAAAACTGACTTTTAAAGCAGCATATTTTAGAACTCTGGCATCTGTCTTGTACTTCTGGTGGTACGTATTAACCCCCTCCCCCCCCCCGGCCCAAGACTCTCTTTGTCCTGTTACTCTTTGATGATTCTGACAAATATTTTTGTACGGCTAAGACAGAAAATTTATTTGTCTATATGTATGCTTTCATCAGAGCCCGTGTTAGTGAAAATCACACTAGTGATGTGTCAGACACTATGCCTGTGCTGTTACGGTGGGCACACCCAACAGTAAGCACGTCCATAGAGAAGTCCTCGCTCACATAAATAAACCTTTCAGGCACTTTAAATATAAGCCAGACTACAACCCTTTTACTCACTCAGTAGCAAATCTATGGTGATTCTCTTTGGGAAAGCAAAGCTCTAATTAACATTATATCGCAAAAAGTGTATCTATATTTAGCAGGCAAGATGAAGCTGTATTTTAAAAGTGATACCTTCTCAAGGGAAATTCATAGAAAGTCCCTTTAAAGAACCAAAGATACACCTGAAATGTAAAACTCATACAGATATTCTTTATGTAGATTGGTAGGTAAGATATGGACATATTACACATCTGTTCATATAATGTATATGACAGAGATTTCATTTTAAAAATGAAATTTCAAAAGCAAATCTGGCTTAAGCATTTTGGCGGAATCCACTAACTAGAGTGTATTCATCAGGTACCCACAAGCCACATGTTCTATCTTTATGGAGCGTATGTTCGTATCTTTATGAAGATAAACGTAATTACGTTCTGTGTAAGCCTTTAAGGAACTCGCAGAAGCTGTGTTATAAGTCCCTGTAGTCTCATGTCAGTTGTATTCAAATTCACTTTCCACGAAACTTGTGTATATTTCTTCGTTAAAAGGAGTGTTCTTGTTTAAAGAAAAGAAAAAGGAGGCAAACCTTATAAAATAGACACAGAACTGTGGAGAACTAATTAAGGGTCGGTGGAGGGAGGCAGATGGGGGATGGGCATTAAGGAGGGCACTTGGGCTGAGCCCTGGGTGTGGTGTTTTAAGTGATGAATCCCTCAACTCTACTCCTGAAACCAATATTGCACTACATGTTAATTAACCAGAATTTAAGTAAAAACTTGAAACAAACAAGGAGAGTGTTCTTACGAATCTTTCTTGCTCCTGATTTTAGCTGAAACTCCCAAGTTTTTGAGTAGCTTGAACTTAATAGAATGTTTGAGGAGCAGCCTTAAAATACAACTCCTTTAACTCTGCCCTCACACAGGAGACGCGTGAGGTCTAGAGCCTTTACATGATTTAAACACGTCTGCCAATGGTAGCACCGTGGTGGGATTTGCTGTTCTCCTAAGTCCTCAGGAAAATGGTGGTGAATAGCCAGGCCTTTGACCGTTATCATGGAACTTAGGAGTATCCTTAATCTCCTAGGCTTGGTATTTTTCGTCATATTGGAAGCCAACCGATTCTGGCCTACTGTACTGGTGTATTTCCTATTAAAATATATGGTGTCCTGATGGCTTCACCTTGAACTCCGTGTTTCTCACCTTGGGTGAGAAGTAGTAGTGCCAAATGACTACATTGCTCTTGCTGTGTCTGTGAAGTTATTTTCTTACTAAATTGAATGAGAGATTCAGATGAGGGTGCACTTATTAGCATTCCATGTCTTACCCAGCAAATACTGAATCAGGCCACGTTCAGTAGAGTGTCAGTCAGTTCATGGAGACATAGATACGTCCACATACTAATCCTTATTCTCTCATGTATTGAGAACAGCGCTTCTCCAAAGTGAAGAATGGCCTAGAATGGAGGAAAAATCGCCTCTTGCCAGATGTATCGTAGTCCATTATTTTTCTGTTTACTAAGAGAAATTCACTGTAAAAAAATGGAAACTTCCCGTTTCCATTGTCTGAAACAATGACCATGTGGAGATGACCTTGCCGTGGACCCTAAACTATCCTTCCAAACCCCAAAGAGCTTTGAATGCAGAGCTCTGAGAAGTCAGGTATGAATGAATGTAAACTTGATCTGCAAAACTGTGCTTCATCAACACTGCTACCTGGCTTTGCCCCCGGCTGTTTGCGATGTCCGCACCGGCACTGAATGCGGGGGTGGTATTCCTTGCCTCCTTGGCTCTTAATCCAGCTAAGATAAATCCATGACTGTCGCGGTACTTGGCAGTGTCAGCGTTAAACAAACCAGCTTCCATTTCTCTCGTGGAGATCATTTTTGGCATTTCAGACACAAGCCTTTAGAGAACAGGTTTGGATGTATGTAAACACAGGGTTAATTCTCCACACCCTCAATTCCAGAGCTGTTGACAAAGTCATGCTTTGCGGATTTTAAAATAAACTTTTTGTCACTCTTTACAGCTTGGTATTTTTCCCTCCCATTTTCTACTCCCTCCTTAATAAGCTTCTTTGTTAGCTAACCGACGTTTCTGGATTCCGGAAAATAGTAAGTTTTAAAACACAGAATATATCCAAGTTGACTACAAATCCAACGACAGTTTTTTGAACGTGGGCTTTTATTACTTAGGTCCTTTTTGGCCCCTTCACAAAAATGGTGCGATTCCACGTTTGTGATACTGTTGCTGACTTCTCACCGGAAAACCGTCAGCTCCGGGCAGCCTTTCTTTCTGTATGGTATTTAAGTTAACTCACTACAAAAACCACATTCACACCCTTCTTCAATTCTCCTTCCTTTTTTGGTGAAGATGGGGTGGGGGGGCTGTTGACAGTGATTTTCCCCCCTCCCATCTGGCATAGAAGAGAATGTTTTCTCCAGCTGGGCTCCTTGTCTCTGGTACCTCCATGTCTGACAGTCGTATTATGTGTGAGATCGCCCCCCCACCCCAAGCCCTTTGCAATGAAACATATAATAGTAGGCAGACAGCTAACTGACAGTGTTCGGAGCTGTGCCTCCCTCCGCTCAGCTATTTTGTTACTTGTAGATCATGGTCTAATTATTTAGCATAAAGGGACACTGGTCCTGTGGGTGTGTAATCATATTTATAGTACCTTTTATTAGTTTGCATTCCATCGTGGTAATGTGGTGATATCATAAATAACAGAGAAACATAATATCCAATGCTTGTGGAAGGGCTTTCCTGCGGCCAGGGCATCGGGGCATTTTTCCTCGTCGTTATTTGGCTTGCTTGGGGAGGTGGGGAGAGTAACTGTGTGTGCTCATGTGTTCAAGGCCGGTCTCGAGCATTGGGTAGAGTCTGAGCGCCCTGCCTCGTTCGGAAAGAACTGTCCCGTGAATTTGATGCGGTTTAGATTTACAGCAGCATGGCTCGGACTGTGTTTGCTGCCTTAGTCAGCTGTGAGAGCTCCCTGCTGGGGCCACTCCTGTCTGATGGAAAAGCAGCAGCTGGGAAGGTGCTGTTTCAGGCTCTTGCTGTTTTAAAAAAAAAAAAAAAAAAAATGAGAGCAAGAGAGGGGGCAAAACTCCGCTAAGTCCACAAGCTGGCATTGGAGGGGGAGACCGTGGTCATGTGGTTCTGGCCATCCTACCCTCTGTCACAGTGCGGATGAGAGCTTTTTCCTCTTATCCAATCATGCCTGGAATGCCGCTTGCCACTTGGGTTATTTCTGCTATCTGTCGCTCTCGGTGCCGCAGTGCTAACGGTTTGGCAGATGGGACACTTTTTCTTGGAGTTTGTGTCTTCGGTTTTTGACTTCTGGCAGCGCCGGGCTTGCTGTTGCCGCTCGCCCTCTCCCCCCCTGCCCCCCTGGGCACCATGGCCCATCGGCTTCGGTTTCATTTTGGCTCCGGGCGCAGCAACACAGCCCCCGAGTCCGAGATCCTAGACCGGGAGCGGCAGGACGACTTCTTCATGGCATTCCACACGCTGCCGCGGAGGAGCGGCCCGCACGCGTTCGCGCAGCGCGGGGCCGAGGGCGGCGGCGGCCTGCACGAGGCCGTGGGCGCGCTCAAGCGCAGCACGTCCATGTTCGTCGCGCGCCCCACCCGCAGCTCGTCCGTGCACATCTCGCTGCAGCGCAAGGCGGCCGACGGCGCCCCCGACGCGGGCGCGCCCCCCGAGGGCCTGGACGGCGACGCGGGCCCGGCCCCTCGAGCCGGCGGCCCGGAGCCCCCGGCGCCCGACGCGCCCCCCGGGAGCTCGCCTCCGAGGGCGGCGCGGGCTCCGGGCGCGCAGCTCAACGGCACGTGCGGCCGCCAAGCGCCGGGCCCCGCCGCCGGCGACGGCCGCGAGGAGGCCGCCCGGGGGGCCGAGGGCTGCGGCGGCAGCGGGGCGCTGCGGATCCAGCACCGCGCCTCCAGCGCCGACGTGCGCCAGGTGAGGCTGACGCCCTTCGGGGCCGACGGCCAGAGCGGCCCTGCGGCGCCGGAGCCCCGGCGCTGGTCCCTGCAGCACGTCCCGGACGCTTCTGGAAGCTCTGGGAAGCGCTGCTTCGTCTTCCAGTTGCAGCAGCCACAACCGGGCGCTCCGGGGCTGGGCGGGGACTTCAACTTCGGCTTCACCGGCACGAAGGGGGACCGGCTGGTGAGGTACCCCCGCATCCGGCTGGAGAGGAGCACCTCGTACCCCACGCAGCCCCGAGCAGAGCGCGGGAGCCCCACGGAAGAGCGGGTCCACCCGGGGCGCCCGGAGACGCCGCCCCGGGGCCGCAGGGGGGCTCCCGAAATCCACAGGACGGACTCGGCGGAACGGACGCCACAGGGGCAGGGCTGCACGTTTAAGATCAGGCAGGATCAAAATGCGGGGCAACAGCACTTCAGAATTCTTGTGACTCGGGGGCCGGAAGAGGCCCCCCAGAATCCCGAGGAGAATAACGCCAGCAACCCGGGCTCCACGGGAGCTGGCGCCCCGGTAAGTTGGCGTGCGTGTCCGTGTGACCGCAGGTCTGCAGGGGCTGAGTCAAGCCAGCAGGCTTCTTCGGCAGCCTAATTAAAACAGACTTCATCCTCTTCCTTTCTGGGAGTTTCCCTCCTTCGG